TTGGCCTTCTTCACATTCCAGCACACATGCTTCTTCCTCGTTATCCTCCCTCTCTTCTTCTTTTTTCTCTTTATTTTTGAACTTATTGGCTAGTAAATAGTTATTAGCCATGACAGGAGGTAACGTACTGAACTGAATAGTAAGGGGCTAATCTGGATCTTCTCCATCCCTTCTGCCTCCCTCAAACTTCGATCTACCAGAAGAACTCTCTCGCAATTCTTCCATCGATTCACCTGTACCAGTCTCCTCATTGTCTTGGAGAACTTTTGATTGGCCACCTCGAGTAGTTTAGGCTCCTTAGGATGTGGCATTCCCTACTGTTGCCTTATCATTCACCCATAATTTCGTTGAAAATGCCTTTGTTGGGTTCTAGTCATCTCGTTGAAGGGTATCACCCTTCCTGCATTATACTGGAACGAATGCCATACATTTGGTTGGCAAGGTTGCGGCCTGAATGTTCTCCTATTATTTATTGACCTGAACTGCCTCTCAAAAGGCGGTCCCCTATAGAATGATATACCTCGCCCTCTACCAGGCTGAGCATTTGGGAAAAAACTAGGGCGATGGTGATGCTGCCATATCGTTGGTTTCTCCATATTTGCACTCACTTCTCTTTTACATCTTGTACACAGGACGTCTTCATCCTTTTTAGGCTCCCTCCCTTTGATGCGTTCAAAGACACTGGGGTGTGGCCCAGGGTCCTCTTCTCGATCATCTATAACCAACTTGAATTTTGGTAACTTGTTTAACAGTCGTCACCATGTTCACCCCAAGTGGCTGTGGAAAAGGGTTTTCATCTACTGTCATCTTCTTCTTATCCTCGAACGTAATTCGTCCTGATTCAATGGCGTCCTGTAACACATAGCGAAAAACCAAATAGTTGTTAGTCAAATGCGACCATGCATTATGCCACTTACAATATTTTTTACCCTTGATTTGTTCAAGGTTTGGCAACTTATATTTATCGCTCAACTTTATCTACTTATCCTTATATAGTTTATCAAATATAAGGTCAGCTTTGGTTACGTCGAACGAGAACGTTCTAACCTTTTTGTTTTCATCTTTTATAGGCTCATCCTTGCCCAACGATCTAGGCTTAGCCATTATAGGACAAGTATATGCATCTTCTTTGATTAATTCGGCCAAGCACATTTCGGTTTGATCGTAATACTCGTCATCAATGGTATGACCATCAAAATTTGGGTCTCTATAATAAGTCCCCTTGCTAGAATTTTTCATTTGCTTTTTTACGCTTATTAATCATTCATACCTAATCATGTTTGCACTCAATTGAAAAAGATCAAGAAATTTCCTGTCTTAGAATTTCTTTTTTAAATCAAAGCTCAGACAACTTTGAACGATTCTGACAAACTCCTTTTCGGGCAAAGGTACAAAACATTTACTTCTTGCTGTCTTGAACCTTTGAAGGAAACCTTCTGCCCATTCGTTTGGCATTTGATGTAAATTCGCCAAATCGGCCAAAATAACTTCATACTCAGTCTTATAAAACTGAGCATGGAACAATTGCTCCAATTGTTGCCATGTTTGAACAGAGTTCACTGGCAAATTGATGAACCAAGAGAAAGCTACTCCTGTTAATGAACTAGGGAACAACCTCATTTTAGGGTAGTCAGTTACTTCACCACTCTGCAGTATGAATCGCCCTATGTGTTCTAGAGTAGACACCTCTCCTAAACCGGTAAATAATGAGAATTCTGGCACTTTATATCATCTAGGCCATGGATATGCTTGGTCTACCCAATCAGGGTATAGCTTAGTGTAAGTCGGCCTAATGACAGGACGTACCCCAAAAGCCATTTGATCCTGTACGATTTCCATAATTTGATTTCTCAACATGACGTTGAGGTCATATGGAATTCCTACAGGTATGTTTGGTCCTTGGTTGGCAACAAAGTTGCCATGATTTGGGTCATTGTTACCATTAGCCTGAATATTTATTCCATCATTGACACGTGGGGTATTCTGTCCATTATTTAGGACATTGTCTCTTATATTTAGGTTACTCCCCAAGTTAGATGTAACATTACCACTATTCTAATTTGGCCTTACACCATCCCCTGGTTTGAAGTAGATGGACCAAAAGGTGGTTCTATCCCCAGATTTGGACTTAGAACTGGGAAATTATGTCCCACTATTGTCCTATTTTGAAAGTGATTTGCAATAAGCACAACTGGCTGACAAATTTGGCCTACTAACTTATTCATTATTTCATTTAATGTATTCAGTTGTTTGGCCATGTTGTCATAATGTGCATTCCCATTCTGGGTAAATCTTTCCATATTATGAACATTTCGTAGATTTACTTGTTCAACGACATCCTGTGTGAGTTCTCCAAGCAATGCACGCATGGTTCGAGGACTCAACTCTATCATTGGTTCGTAACGACTGTGACTGCTCTGACTCTATCCCTCTATTCATGGTGAGCTTTGCTGCTCCTCATACCGCTCGATCACAGACTGGACTCCTCCCTGACTTGCTACTTCCTTATCGGATTTGTGAGGCATATTGTTTCACCTTTTGTACTTTCAACACCAAACACCAAGGTCCCATCGGGCGTTCCAAATTATTTCGCGCGGGTAGTCGCTAACAATTAAGAAGGAATCAGACGATTATGTAAGGAACGGCCCTCTTGAGATAAAGTCCCAAAAATGGGTGTTTTATTGACAATGATTTACAATTGGAACTAAACATAATGCCTCCAAAGGGCGCAAGCACATGAGTACTGAAAGAAAATGTTTAAGTTTAAACTAAGAAATCGAAATTACATATTCTCTGTTTGAGAGTTTTTTATTCGGGGTCTCTCTCTCTATGTCTTCTCTTCCTTTTATATTCCTTTGATGATTTCTTCGTGACAAACCGCTTGAAAACTGCTTGATTGCTGTATAACTACCCACTTTCTTTATAGTGGTTAACTTGTCGTGGAACTGCCGTCCCGAATTGTCGTCATTACTCTTTGTCATTCAATTGCCTTCAACTGGGCTCCTTGAGTCGTGGAATGTGATAAGATCACTCAATAACTATTTCAATAACTGCTATTCTGGATAAACATAATGTTTTACGCTTGCTAAGATCATGGGCGATTCAAAAGTTTGGGCGAGGACGTGGTCATCGCTCTGGGCGACTGTAAGGTATTCTATTCGCTCAGATCCTGGGCGTCTTGCAAGCTTGGACGATGATATTACCGTGTTCGTGGGCTTCCACCGCATTCATCAATAATCCAGTTTGGGCCTTTATTCTAGATTCCCCAATTGGGCTTCACTCTTTGGGCTATTTGATTTGGGCTGCACTTTTAGTGTATCAACAATAATTAAATTATTTTATTTCGTCTCTAAACCTATTAATCGCCTTTCTCGTGCATCTATTGAGGTACTGTAAATATGCGAACGATTTTTATGATTCTTTAATAGAATCTAGGAAGACAATTGACGAGTATTTGTTACTCGTGAGTTTTATACTATTTTAACTTGATTATTCGCTAAATTTTATGAGTAATGAACGTTTTTTATGTGTTTATTAGTGTTGTTTTATAGGTTGGTGAGGTGGTGTAATTATTTCAAAAGTGGAGAAAACAAAGCTATTGACATAAACCGAAGAGAAAAGATGAACAAAAGAGTAAAGTTTCTACATCAAAAGAAGAAAAAATGAGGGATTTAATCCGAAAGGTGGCGCATGATGGCCAGGAAGAAGTAGACTTGTTGTGCCCAGGTACCTCTCCAAAAGACAACGGACAGAGTTGTGGTGCCAAGGCGTCGCCTCTTGTGAGTTAGGGCACGTTTTTGGCCCTTCTAAATGCCCGTAAAACTCCATCCGACAAAAATGTGGAGAGAGGTATAAATACAAGAATGTGGACACTTTGGAGGGGTTCCACATATTGAGATGCTAAGAATTCAACTTGAAATTGAGGAGAGCGAATCAAAGGATAAAAATATCAAGAAACTAAGGGTTTAAAGCAATGATTAGAAAAAGAAGGTCTTGGTGCAAGAATCATCCATTTTTCTACATCTTTCTTTAAAATCCAATAGTGTACTCAATACATTTTTTCTTCTTCTATTATTATGAGCAACTAAACCATATATTAGGGTGAACAATGTAATCTATTCGATATCTTTTAATTCTTTTATTCAAAATTATAGTTCTTTAAAGTTTATGCGTTGATTTTATTCATGTATTTAATACTCTGAATTACTTGATCAATAATTCAATAATTTTGTAAATCGTTTACGAATCAAGACATAGGTTTTAGATTTAGACCACATAGTAAAATTCGAAAATTTATTATAACATGTGAAGATACTTATGTTAATTATTGCGTTCGTTATATGAATTCTTAAAACAAATAATGTGTTTAACTAAGATTGATTCACATGGAGATATGAGAATGAATTAGCTAAATAGGTTCAATAGAACTCGAAAAGGGTAAATGGAATACAATAAAAGAATTCGATTGAACACTTCATTAGGTTTGTGTATCTTGAATTAAGAATTAGAGATGATCAATATGAGAAATTGTTATGTCCTAATATCTATTCCATATTTGAATCATCAACTCGATCTTTGTGTGCAATTTTGATACTTTCAATTAGCTAGAAATAGTTAGATCAAAAATCACCATATCACAGTTCTTTGTTTGTTTTCATCAAATAGAAGTTAAAAATATTAAATTAAATATTAAAGTATGATTCTCGTGTGAATGATAATCTGAACTCAATATGTCCAATATATTATTTGTTGCGATATCGTGCACATGCGATATAAATAATGCAAAAGGGGCCATGCTCTACTTGTCCATCCCAATGTTCGATAAGATTAAATAAATGAACCTATCCAATTTTTTCAATGTCCCAAGTGAAATTATCGGCTTTATTATTCAGTATTTTCCATGCAAAAATTAAGAAACAGAAGATATAGAGACAAATGGCAAACCGATTTGTTCTAGATACTACGTGTCATAAACTTTCCATGCAGCAGCGCCACCAATACCTCCTTTTGCCACTAATTTATTCGTGCAAATCTACATATTTATATATCCTTTAATTTTTAACCTAAATTCACATTAGAACTCTACTTTCTTTTGTCAAGAAATGGAATTAATTCACACATTTCTAAACCTAGTGGTACCTCCATTTACCTTCTTCACCCTTTTGCTTTTCTTGCCACCGTTCCAAATCTTTAAGTTCTTTCTGTCAATCTTGGGATCCATTTTCGCTGAAGATGTTGCAGGAAAGGTTGTTATCATCACCGGTGCCTCCTCCGGCATCGGCGAGGTATGTAAAAACCTTTAAGAAAAAGGGTACAGGAATACTGCATATTTATATAAACTAAGAATTAACTTTCTTTAGGGCTTTGATCGAAAAATAACTTAATTGTATACTTGTTAACCTTTATACCGCGACGAAAGTTAGTGATTAGTATTTTAAGGTACCTACAATTTTTATCAATTTTTCAACACACGTTTAATTAACTTTTATCAAATTTACTAAAAATATGACTTTTAACAAAAATAAATAGATTTTTTAAAATCCAATATTGTGCTTATGAACATGAATTGTAACTCTTTAAGCCTTTGTGTCTAGTTGTTCAATTTCGTCTAATATTGAGTACCAAATATGTCTATTCAGTATTCCGTACCGTTTAATATTGCTACCCGGGTATGTATGAAAAATTGTGAAATATTGCAGCATCTTGCATATGAGTATGCTAAAAGAGGAGCGTGTTTAGTTCTTGCTGCGAGGAGGGAGAGGAGTCTTCAGGAAGTAGCAGAAAGGGCTCGAGATCTTGGGGCACCTGATGTTGTAGTGGTTCGTGCTGACGTTTCAAAGGTTGAGGACTGCAGAAGGATTGTTGATCAGACTATGAATCATTTTGGTAGATGTAAGTATTTAATTTCATGGTTTTGCGGATTTTGTTTATGATTTTCATTAGTGGTTAATTTATTGAAAGAATTGTTTCCATGATTGATCCGATCCTATTAGCTGAAAGGCCTCCTTATCTTGGATGGAATTTACAGTACTACATGGAAGAAGAAATTATATTCACAAGAGCATGTTTGGCTAAGTAGTTTACTTATAATTGAAGAGTTAGGGTTAAAAATACATATTTTTTAAATTTGTGAAAGCTAATTAAGGGGTTGTTTATCAAAGTTTTTGATAAAGTTTTAGCAGATATATATGAAAGTTGATGAAATGTGGTTTCGAACGTTCTTTTTTTCTTTTTTTCTTTTTCTTTTTTTATTATTTTATTTTTTTGGTTGCAAGTTAACACCCTTGAGAGGTCACGGGGCTATATCTTTTCAGGATTGACTAGTGAGGTTGAATAGCATATAATGTCAAGTAGAATAAAGGAATGAAAGTTGGGGTCGGAGATAAGGAAAAAGATAAAACTTGTGGGTCTAGTAAAGCCTGTTCAAAACTTGAACTAAGTTTTACTAGACAAGCACTAAGTTACTTCAGGGAGAGAAAAAGGTTATTGAAACGTGTTGGGACAAAAAAGTTGCATAAAGAAAGAGCTTTTGCTATTCTATTTTTTTTTCACTTAGCACCTTGTCCAGACAAGGTATGCTTACTATATCAAATATGATAAATTCTTGCTAATAATGCAGTTTCTTTGTTTCCATGGTTTATGCAGTGGATCATCTGGTTAATAATGCTGGACTTTTCTCAGTTTCTATGCTGGAAGAGGCTGAAGATGTCACTGATTTCAGAGCAATCATGGTAAGACGTAGGGCTAAAATACAAATCTGGGATTCTGTTCTATTTTGTCAATTGTATTCATGGAACCAGATTTACATTAACGGGAATCTTTTAATTTATGATTTGTGTAATTTATGATTTGTGTCTAAAACCCCTCTTAACGCCTGAAATTTGGGTTGTGTGGCCCCATTAGGAAGCTGATTATTTTTGTTCTTATAGCGAATATATGGAAATAAAGACTAAATACTAGAAAGAATGATGGTCTTGATAATGACAATTTAACAAGATTGCTGTGTTCACTTCATCTAAAAGGGCTAATCGCTTCTGTAAAATAAGTTGTCAAGGTTTAGTGGAAAATCAAATTCAAATTGTTGAACTCAAGTTTGCCTAATCCCATTTGAACTTGATGACTAGAAATAATATCTGCACAGTACACACAGGAGACAATATTCTTCTTTTTTCAACCTTTCCGTGGTGCAGTAGCATTTAACTCTTTAATATTATACGAATTGCAATGCTAGAATAATGCTTGTTCAGCGTGTTCTAAAGATTTATAGTTCAAAGAGTGACATGAAACTATGGAATTGATGCAGGGTGACAATTTCTAATTCTTGCATCCCAACTTTTGGTGTTTAAGAATGTGATTTGCACTATTAGAGACACCAAATTTCAGTCCATGGAAGTTCTGAACTCTAAATTGTGTGGTTTGATCTAACAGGATATCAACTTCTGGGGTTATGTCTTCATGACAAAATTTGCAGCTCCTTACCTCAGATACAGTCGGGGTCGAATTGTTGTACTTTCTTCATCTGCTTCTTGGTTGCCAGGACCAAGGATGAGTTTTTACACGGTAATTAAACATTCAATCATGCTTGGTATACATAGCCTTTGACAGTTTTTTTGGACAGAATGCTACATGGCTCTGTCATTTGACAGATTCACAAAAAAAAAAAAAAAAAAAAAAGTCTTTTCATCCAATAATTTTTTACCAACACATTTTTCTGTCAACAAGGTGGTAGAAGACAATGTACAAGTGGCAAAATCCTTAAGCATGTTTCTGTTCAATTTCTGTAGGCATCTATTTAATAAGTTTATGTTTGACTCCCATTTTTTTCAAGATTCATTTTCATGCACATATTAATTCATAAAATAATATTACACGAACATCGAATATGTTTTCTTATTTTTTACCATATTACACGTAAATAGTAAACTTTTTCCTATTATTTTAATCACATATTCGCCAAAAAAAATAAAAAAATAAAAAAATCACTATTCTAAAACTCAGTTTCCCCCATATTTCCATTAAAATGGAGCCTAAACCAGGGCTAAAGTTTTATGTATCATAATACCAGGCAAGCAAAGCAGCAGTTTCACAGTTCTTCGAGACACTAAGGATAGAATTTGGGCCCGACATTGGGATAACGCTTGTCACTCCTGGATTCATAGAGTCTGAACTTACCCAAGGCAAATTCATAAGTAAAGCTGGAAAACTTGAAGTTGATCAGGATATGAGAGATGTAAGTTTATTTCTTTGGTTCTCTCTAGTTAAAGATGCCAAAAAATTGTGTGCCTATTTGATTTGTTTTCTTTAAAATAATCTTGTTTGATTATTGAACTAGGTTAATGTGAATATAAACCCCATCCTGAGAGTCGAGAGCTGTGCAAAGGCAATTGTTAACCGTGCTTGCCGGGGTGAAAGATATGTGACTGAGCCAGAATGGATTAAGTCCACTTTCTTTTGGAAGATTTTCTGCCCAGAGGTGATTGAATTGATGTATAGATTGCTTTATCTCACCAGCCCGAGTGACTCCCCGAAGGAGGCACTTGGCAAAAAGCTAGTAGATTACACAGGAGCAAAGGCAGTTCTCTATCCTCATAGTGTCCAAACACCGGAAACTAAGAAGGATTAAGGTTGAACTGCTGATGGTTGTCTAATGTTCACAAGTTTGAGTTTGTCTAGAGGTTCTCGTGTCTTCTGTTGGTAACATTGAGGTACCAATAACTATGGTTTGTACAGAGTATAATTTGAATAATTTTGAACAGACGTGCGGAATAGTGCCAAACTGATATGCTCTGTGTTAAAGTGTGTTGGCCCGTCTATGTTACAGGCGGCCTATCCCAAGAAATAGTGAGGCTTGTGCATGTAGTTGGAATTTTTTCAAAGGTCGTGGTTGCACCATATCACCCTTGCTTCTACATGCTGCTACTTGAAAAAATGAGCTTCCATGGGATTAGAGACCCAGAGAGAATCGGCTTTATGGGATGGCTATCCGAATGGTTTAATCCTTTTCAAGAAAATAGATAGATACATTGAAACCTTAGGTTTTGTATGTAGTTTTGGTCTTGGCAAAGTGTAAAATGTCGAGTTTTGGTCACTGAATTTTAGAAAATGTCGTACATTACTCACTAAAGCCTCGTTTGGCCTCCATTCTTTCCAAATTTTAATAGTAGGAATAGTGTGTTTTTGAAAAATGTGTGGTTGGAAAAAAATGAAAAGTTTTTTAATTTACATGTAATATTATTTTATAGAAAATTGTGTAATTGAAAATAAGAGAGGAAAATAATGAAAATGAGAATGGGAGCTAAACATGATATAATGTTGAACTTTGAAAAATATTGAGTTTAGTGGTCAAAATTCGACATTTTAAATTTAAGTGAACAATCGAAAATATGGATTTAAGTTCAATGACCATTGAAACAATTAAGTCGTTACCTAATTTGTTTCAGACCATCGTTGCCAATATTCTTATTTTGGTTACTTTATCCAATTTCATCGAAAAAACCTTTTGATAAAAATAGTAACATGGATGGAGGGATAGCTGACATTGCAAATGTCACGGTTTTCGTTAAAGTAGACAATATTTTCTATCTTTTCGTTTGGAATTTGACAGGGTACAATCAATCATGTAGAGAAAATGGCACAGTGATGGGCTGCTCGAAGTAATTAGCTGCTGGAATAAACCTGTTAATTGGGCCGGATCTTGTAATTAATTTGGAGAGTTGCTGCTTTACTTTGCCAAAAAACATAAGCTATCGAAAACACGTTTTTGTTATTTTAAAAGAATGCTGCCAGATTTTAACAAGTGTCCAATTACTTACCATTGGATGGATTATTCAAGTGGGATACATATTTAATTGGCACTAGGGCTTGGCTGGACGAAAAAAGATACAGAATTCAGATTCCTAATTTTCTCTCACCTCACAAGTTCCTCTCTGCCTCTCATCTCTCCTCTCTCGGTGGTCCTTCAATCTATCAATTTTTGCACATCAAAAATTAGCCCCTGTTGATGAGAAATTAATCCAACCTTGTGTAGATAATCTTGAGTGATTTAACAAGGTGTATTGGTGTTATTCTTGAGTGAATGCCATTGTCGAATGTATAGAGGTTTATGTTGAAATAATCTTGAGTGATTATTGTATAGGCTTCGATTCATCATTCTTGAGTGAATGTTGTCGATTTATGAGGCTTAATTTTGGGGGAAATTTTGTGGGATTTTCTGCTGGGTGCCAAAAGATTGTACTGGACAGATTCGTTGATTCCATTGATATAGTGATTTCTTCCGCTTGACGGAAGCTCAAAAGGGGATTAGGAACGAAATTCCGAACCTCTTGCTTTAGGGCGAAAATATCGTGTTCTTCATTGTGTTTTTACATTTTTAAGTTTTCAGTTTTTGTGATTTTTCGTTTTTTTTGTTGACTTAAGTGGGCTGATTTCTTGAACTTCTCATAACAAATCAGAATTCTTTTATTTGTACTTCCTCCTCTCTACCAGGAATAAACTTGGAGAGACAAACTCTTTTAGTTTTATAGATGAAACTCGGAACACGTATGTGCTATAGGTCTACATAAGAGTAATCGTAATTTCAATATGTACGTTCTTACGTTATACGATCTTGTAACGTAAAAAATTGCAACATTGTTGGATAGCGGATGGAAGATTTTATGAAGTGATTATTGGATTGTTTTACATTCAAATGATGAGATTTTTGAAATTTAAAAAGATGAAGCCAGTCATAAGATGATTAAAAAAAAAAAACATTTATGAGTTTTCAATAAAATAAACTTTGATAGTTTAGAAAAGAATAATGTTATTTAACATCAATGATGTTGAATATCTATTAAATGAGTTACAATTTTTTATTTTTATTGAATATATAATTTTATGTCATTTAGTGCTAACTAGATTACTCCCTTGATTCTCTCATGTACACGCCAAACGCCTTTTTTCCTAGATCCACATAGACAAACTGTCCACCCTACCTCTTCTATGTTCTTGATAGCCTATCTTTGCCTCAGTAGTCTTTCAGTGGAGGCGCTATTCGATAATGTCTGTCTAGCAAATCCCCTGCTAACCTGAGTGAACATTCCAGTATTTGTTCTACAATCATTTTCAATATTTTCCATACGTAATCCTTTGTATAGATGTTGTGACGAGCGGACGCTAAGATGGAAGTACGGAATCATCCCCAAAAATCTCAATCAGAGTAGGTATATGCCAAACATGAATACCCCCTGAAGCACAGGGCAAAACACTTACGGTAAAAATTACTACATGTTTGGATTTTCTTGAATGAATTTCATGATCTAATGGTCCGTTCACTGATTAGCCAAGTGAGTTCGATAGATTCTTACTAAAGAAGGTTCAAAGCGAAAGCTACCTATCTTAATGCGTTATCTTTCAGATAGTACTCTTCTTCCGTCTTCCTTGATTTGAGTCTACTTCTTCCATTCATATGGGGGATTGTTGGAATTAATTGAATGTAATTGGGTTAAAATATTAAATGTAATATTTAATGATGTGGGCCATTGCAATTAATTTGGGTGAATTGGAAAAGTCTCCAATATAGGCCCATATGTTGATAAGCCCATTTTAAGTGTTTTATATATGGAAAAGAATCTCACATCGAAAGTTTACAAGAAAATAATATTATTTATATAGTGGGTTGTGTGAATAATATATAGTTTACAAGACCAAGTGGTGCACCAGTTCCTGAAATGTCACACACCTGTTCCATGAGACACTTCAATCTCTATAAATAGAGACCCCCAGATTCGCTTTTTAAAACACACCAAATCAATTACGAATTCAATTGATTTCTAAATTCTTCTCTCTCCATATTCTGCTCTAAAACTTCTCTTATATTTTCGTGGTTGTTCCGTTCGAGAACGATCATTCATTGGTTCGACCGACAAGGTTGGTATTGTGCAGTACCGGTTTTGGAAGGAGCGTTGTATTTTGGGAGACAAACGTCCATAATCCCGTTGGCACTTCATTGGGGGGCGAAATCTGTCTTAAGGAGATTTGCTTTGGCATACCTTGCTTTATCTACTGTTTTCTATTTTTCTGCTTATTTTATTTGTTCTTTTGATTGCGTTAGTCGAATTTTCGGCAACAAAAAACCTTCAAATTTTGAGGGTAGGGCACTAGGGTTTTTAGTTCTTTTAGGGGTGGAAGCCAAGTTTGTTGTGTGTTAATGCCTTGATGGAATTCTCGGCCTTAATAAGTTTTTTCCTTTTATCTAATCAGATAACGAAGTTGGTTTAGTCGACCATACATGTATCAGCAATTACCTAACCTGAAAATAGTATCGGGAATGGCATCAAAGTGTACCTGTGAAAAGGAGGGATACTCTCTGGTTTTACCTCCGACGCTCAAGTCAATATATGCGTAAAATTCATGAAGGATAAGTTTTTAGGAGATTGTATTTGAAGTTACTGAAGGTCTTGTGCTATAAGAGTCTTGTTTAGACTCGAATGATAGTTTTTTTGGACTGAAGTTAGCTCTTCATACTCTTGGGGATGGATTTTATCTCCTTATATATAATTCTATGTGGTCTATGTTTATATACAACAGATGGTGGAGTTTTATCGGTAGCAAAATTAACCGAGGAAGCACGTTAATGAAGTTAGATCAAAACATTTCATTATGTAACAAGAATGTCATTTATTTATTTATTTTCATTTTTGGAGAAAATCAAAAGGAATATTAAGTTCTTGTTGTGAGTAGTGACTCGTGAGATTATTTTGAAATAGTGGATCATCTGGTGAATGTTGCTGGGGTCGCTATGGTGACCATGTTCGAAGATGCCAGTCCGGCTAAAATCAGAAACTTGGCACCCTCTATGGTAATGTACTCGGCTCCTTAGCATAGGCATTACATATTCCTTAGTTCCTAGAAAAAATTAGGACTCTTCAAATGCGAAAACTTGAGACCTTATGCGAAAAACGTTTTTCCAAATCTGTCTTTGTAGGATATAAACTTTTGGGGTAACGTATATGTAACCTATTTTGCTGCTTCACATTTGAGGAAAACTAAAGGCAAGATTATAGTAATTGCTTCTTCTGCTAGTTGGTTGAATGCACCAAGACTGAGCTTCTATAGTGTAAGCATATATCATTGTAGGTTCAGGAAAGTATAAAGACCGAAAAACATTCGAGGCAAAAATCAAGCATAGATGCAGATCTATAGAAAAACAGTAAAGGAACACAAGATTTTTCGGTCGAAACCCCGAGATTCAGCGATTTATCAAATCGCCTAGTCCCCGTTGAGCATCCATAAAGGAATAGGCTCAAATCCACTAAAATCACCGGCCGAATACCACAAACTTCAATTACAACCGGAACACACAGTTCCAACCACAGCAACTATCAAAACCCTCAACACTGAATTGAACTCACACAAGAGTTCATAAAGATTCAATCTCTTTACAGAAATCTACACAAAGATCTAAGAGAGAATCACAAAATTACAGAGAGAACAATATGAAAATATAGAAGCTGTGCGAGAGGGAGAGCCACTCAAACCCTAGACTCCCCTTTTATAAGAGAGATGCCCCCATTTTGATCCAACGGCCTTTATTTAGCCAAGTGTCGAAATCTAGTATAAGTTGTTATTTAAAAAACTGAAAACGCTTTTTCTCAAAAACATTTTTCAACTTCGAGATTCTTCTTCATTTTTGGGTCATTGGACCAGGTATGGGCTAAGTCCTTAAATCTGGGCTGGGCTTCCACATAAAACAACAACCAATTTCTACATTCTCCACCTTTGTTGTTTTGTGTCTACTTTAATGTGGATTTAAGCTTATACCTCTATTTCATTTGCTCTTATTACCTGTAAAAACAAAAT